AGTGTAACTTACGCCTTGAAGAATCTAGACTTTGGGTTGCTTCTTGATGGATTTGCTGCTCTTTGGCCTTCCAAGAACCCTTCCTAGCTGCTGGAAATGAGATAGTGGGTGGCTAGAGCTTGGATGGTATAGAAGGAATGGAGGTTAATGGACTTATGGAGTTTTTGAAGAATTTGGGAGGAAAAAAGAAAAAGAAAAAATCGAAGGATGGAGTTGGCTATGGAGCTTTTAAGACAATTTTCTAACCCTCAAGAAGAAAGGGCCCTCAGCGTGGTTATAAGGTCAAAGAAAGGGGGTGTAAAAGGGGGGTGCAAAGGAGAGCAAACTCCTCTATCCAAACATATCGCCCCGGATACAGAAAATATCTGGGGGATATTGGCCTCAAGCTCGGTGGTGGAAGGGGCACAGTGAGGAGAGCACCGGCCGGCCGCTCAACTTTTGCTGAAGGTGCCGGGCCCGGCCACACCCCCTAGCCCGGCCGGCTAGGGGTTGTCAAAAGGGGTTCAACCATCTTTTCTGGCCGGCCAGGTATTGGGGAGGTAGGCCTTTGTGTGTACAAACACAAACCATGTAATTGGAATATCCAAGAAGTGGCCCAAAGGGGTTCCACACAGTGGCTCGGAAAGAGGGGTTCAAAAGGGTCAAGTTGCTTACTGGCCGGCCCATGAACTTTTAGGGGCCTGCTCAGGTGTGTACATCAACAGATATGGGTTCAAAGTTCAAGAAAAAAGGTCCAAGGGGTTCAACATATAGCCGGAAGAAAAGGGGTCAAAGGGTCAGGTGACCTTAATGGCGCGGCCATGAACTTCTTTAGGGGCTCTTCAGATGTGTAGATCACAGATAGTGTGATCGAAAGTTGGCAACGCTAGCTCTAAGGTATCAACATTAGCCCGGAAGTGCGAAAAACGGGCGCCGGGAGGCCTCGGGAGGAGAGATAACTGGGCTGCTGCAACAATTACTAGCCTCCCAACCCTTCAGTGACCTTCCCTGTGATAAAAACACGAGGTACCTCTGCCAAAAATGAACGAAAATCGTTGCAAAACGAATGTTCCGGGGCCAAAACACGTGCATCGGGTCGCCGAAATGGGCTGTTAAACACCGTAAGTGCGTTCGGCCACGAAAGGGAGTTTCTCAGACCCAGTGTCCCTCAAAAGGGATGAAATAAGAATGTATTGCCAAAAAATCAGAGCAAATAGGAGATGTTTTAAGCGGTCCCGAACCGAGGCAGCACCGGCCTGACAGGCTCCGAAACCCGGGGAACCGGACTCCGAAATGGGAAAAATGGCCTACGGCCACCAAAATGTAGGGCCTACGGACATTGAGAAATGGTCTACGAGACCTCTCCCTTCCCTTCAGGAAAAAAAAGGTTAGAAGGGCCCTAACTCTGCTTTTCTTTGCCATCTCTTTTTCAGCGGTTAATGGGACAAGTCGTATTTCGGGCAAGTTTGGGTCCGGTTCAGGTGCTTCCTCTAGAAGGAAATCGGTCACTCGGGCTTTTCGACGACCGCTATATCTGTAGGTCGGCTCAAAGTTTAGAAGTTTAGTCCAACTTCTTTCCTTAATCCGTAGTGCGGCTCGGAGTATGTTCAGATTTGGGTAGCTATAATGGGATGCAAGATGAGCAGAGTCTAAAAAAAATATACAACTGTTAGATCGGTCATGACGCCTGAAACCGAAGTAAAAGAAAAACATGCATAAAACCGAAGTAACTTTACCAGGTTCTCCTTTCTTCCAGTTAATACTTCGGCCTGGGATTTGGGCTTGGTGATCCTCAAAATTGCCCGATACCCAGAAGAAGTCATCGTCATTAACATCCTTATCCGGTGTATCTTTTATTATCTTTTCTCTACGTCGGCGTATCCTAAGGTAATAAACCCAGCCATCATCTTTGGAACCTATGGAGTACTGGTGGAAGATTTCGGCTAAACCGAGGTTCAGGCCTGTTTGGCGGTTTAGCTCGGCAATACCCATTATTATCCGGTATGTATTGGTGGATAGCTGGGTTGGGCATAGTCTGGTTTGCCTAAGAAATTCACAAATTAAAGGCTGGACCGGGAACCTTAGTCCGGTTTCTATAATGGATAAAACAGTAAAGGGGACAAAGCCTTGGTTATTCCACAGAATGGTTTCCTTCTTGGCTAGGGTAAGGTGTACATCGTCTGGAATGCCATAATCCCTTCGAAATTCGGCCATACCACCAGGGGTCTCTACCAAGTACCTATACTTACCCATTTGTATAATTTACAAATAGGTTATATCGGTGCAAATATTGTGCCCAGTAGCTCGGTTGAGCGCACGCAGGAGTGCCTGGGTAACCTAAGTCTGCAAAGTAGAAAACAAAGGGGTTAAGCACAGATCATTGGACTGTGCTACAAATTAAAAGCAAGGTAAATGAGCCCTATTTCGGCTTTGTGGGCTGGTTCTGTTTCGGTTCTGCACAATACTCGATAGTTCGGTTTGAACCTATTGTGCGCAAGATCGGTTTTCCTTTAAGGATTTGTTATCTCGGTTTGAACATTGGGTTTTTTGCTTCGGTTAAGCCACTAGGGGCAGCTTTCTGTGTTTGGTTTAGAAACTAAGAAAGCTGGCTTAGCCCCAGAGGCATAGCTCGGTTGAAGACTAAGGTTCTTAGTTTAAAATATTCAGGCATCGTTCGGTGATCTTATTTCGGCTAAAGTGAATCAGAAGGTTATTTTTTGAAACTACTGACATCTCTACAAGTTCTAGTTCGGCTACTGACTGAAGTAATCTGCCTATATAGACAAACAGTACCCTAGATCGGTCGCTACATTATTTTGGATCTAAGACTAGTTTTTTACAGAAATTCATACGCACATGAGTTCTGCTAGTGTTTTTTCATGAAAATACAGAGGCAAAGCAGAAAGGGAAGAACATGTTTTGCAAAAATACAGTAAACCAAATGTATAGAAGCAGATACGAAAGCAAAAACAGGGAAGGAAAGTAGATTCGCTTACCAGATTAAAGAAGAAGGGACTGAAGATGAAAACTGTTGCAGCAATGAAGGGCACGAACACAGCTAGCTCAAACTCAGGGCTCAGGAACAAGAGAAAGAAGAAGAAGGGAGTAAAGTAAATGATTGGAAAAGTGAAAGGGTGGTTTTGTGAAAAAGGAGAGAGGGGAAAGAAGCGGGAACTGTTCAAAAATTGTGAAACACGAAGACGGCATTGACAGCTGCCTTCTACGAATGGGAGCGTGCCACGTGTATACGGAAAAGGAAGCGTTACAGTTGTGATTGAAGAGACGTTTTAACCGGACAAAGTAAAGCCCGAAGTAAAATTAGCTCGGCTTAAGGGCCCGAGGGTTTTTGGCTCTGCTGGAGAGGCTAAAGGGTTTTTTAGCTCGACTGGAAAGGCTTAATAAACTCTAGCTCGGCCAGTAGACTGGTAATCCCAATCATGTTGCGCAGATGGAATTAAGAGGCAATTGAGAGGGTAATTTTTGGGAAAAATTGGGCCGAGCTGCGAGTTGGGCTTTGTGGCCCAAAGTGCGAAGGACTAAGTAAAAAGGCCGTAATGATTACTCTGGCCCAATAAAAATGCAAAAGGTTACTCCGGCCCAGGAGAGGCAAGGTTACTCCGGCCTAGGAGCAACAAAGTTACTCCGGCCCAGGGAGGTAAAATTACTTCGGCTCAGGAATTATAAAGATACTTCGGTCTGGGAACGATTTAGAGTTATGCCGGTCTTGGAGTTATACTGGCCGAGTCATTAGTTCGGTCTAAGACCGTACCATTGGTTGAACATGGGAAAACCGAGATAAGGATAGAGTTGAAAGTGGAACCGAACTAAGAATAGTTCGGTTTACTCAGTGGCTCTGCATAGCCAAGCTTATTTCGGTCATATAGTAGTTCGGCCAAAGTAAAAACCATCCCACTTGGTTTAAGCAGTGGGGGAGGGTGTAAAAGGATAAGCATTATCCTTAGGAGTATGAATCCTAGGAGGATTCAGCATGGAGGAATAACAGTCCTACTAGGATTGTGCCTCAGTAAACTTATAAAAGCTCACAAACATCACCTTGGAGGAGGTAACAGAACACAACACAATTTTGCTTTCTGAGAACATAGAGCTTTGTCTATTTGTCAAGCTTACTGACTTAGGCATCGAAGAGGTTTCCGGCACACACCCGCCGGCTAGCTCACGTTTGTGTTTTCAGGTGATAAAGCGACGTCGTACGGAGGAGCGTGGACTTGGTCAACAGGATTATACGAGGAGAATTATGTCTTCCCCGTACACCAGTGTTCAGAATGCAAAATGATTTCCAATTTTTTTGTGGTTGTAGAAAAAGTTGGGCAACCTCTAAAAAATATTCTTTAGAAAACAACTGAAAAAAAACGACATTCTGTGATGTCTTAAAATACAATGCTGTGAAAAAAAAGAAGTGGTTTTCCTCAACCTAAAAAATGGAGTGCAAAAGACCGATATATTAGGATAAGGATTTCTCAAGCTTATAGCTATCATAAGGTCTCTAAAACTACCTGCGTTAAAATTTTGACTTATATTTTTTTCATAAAGTTACTATTTTATTTTTGTATTAATATTTAGATATGTTATTTGGTACAGCGATGTAATACAAGTAAACAATCACGTCCAAAATGCACCTTTTATGTATATTTTAAATTTCAGTGTCATAATATATATTATGACACAAAGTGAGGATGATGGTGTTATAGATCCTTTTATAAAAATTACTGAATTTAAAATACTTGGTAAGTTATGAAAATTTATATAAAATTTCTTTTACATATTTTTATCAATATTTAGATATATATACATATAAACATTAATACTTTTCTTGTAATAGATCATGCTACAAATGGCGAGGAGTGTCTAGCACTACTAAATTTGATAAGGGATATCAATGATAATGCTCAACTACAACATTTCAAAGGCTTGGAAACGGGGAAATTAACATCTCACGTCCCAATTTTGAAGGTTTGATGTTAATTTCCCCATGTCCAAGCCTTCGAAATTTTGTAGTTGAGATAGTACATATGCACTTACACTATGAAGTGTTTCTCCTGGAAGGCCATTTAAAGAGGGGAATGCTTCCCTATCAAGAGAGAAGACCTTACTAATTGCCTACAAAGAGAGATATTTTACATTAAGCAAGGAGAAATCACACAAGGGATGAACCCTGGTATAACTGCAAAAACTACAAGATATTGAGACAGTATAAAGCTCAAAGTACTTGGCATCTCTGTTGCATTCCTGACTTTTGTTTGGGACATGTTCAGGCATGCCGCAATTCTCTGAAATGGGAGTGTGGAAAACAAGTGAATTAAACGAGAGGAGTTCACAAAATTAAAGCATGACATAGCTAAATCAGGATTTTTGATTAGCATGTTTTCATATATTTATATAGGTATGATGATGTGACACGCAAGAGTCAAGTAACAATCAATTAGGCTTACATCAATCGGTGGAGCAATTCCTTCCTCTTCATGTTTCGTCTTTGCATTACGGATTAAACTTAATCTTTCATGCAAATAAGTAGGCAATCTTAAGGTTCTTGCATTTTCAACTAATGCCCTCGAAACACCCTGCATGAAAGAGAAGTAACAGATCCTTCTAAGTTTACACACTGACAGAAGATCTATTAATGTGACTACAGGAATGTACTGTATACCCAATAAAAGAACAAAATTGACAAGATTCTGGGTTAAAAACACCCAATAAACCTTTTCTTTTATTGAAAACTAGGCGGCTTAAAAGTAAAATCATAGGAAGAGATTCATTAAGTAGAAGTTTTTTGAAAGCTTGAAGTTTTGTGCATGATGTCAGCATATATATGATATCAAAAGAGCTACTTGATCGCTGTTACGTTAAACAGATTCCAGATATTCTGTTTTAGAATGGCAAAAGAAATGGTTTGGTAAATCAAGACACATACAGATTGTATACATGTGTTTTCAGAAATTTGCAAGTGTTTCCAGCCTTTATACTCTTTATGACCCTGGGCTTTCTTAATTTAACCCTTAGAAATGGGGATCACGTCAGAGCTTCAAGGACTTAAAATACAACGCTGTGAAAAAAAGAAGAGACTTTCCTCAACCTCAAAAATGGAGTGCAAAAGACCGATATATTAGGATAAGGATTTCTCAAGTTTATAGCTATCATAAGGTCTCTAAATCTATTTTTGATAAAATTTGACTTATATTTTTTTCATAAAATTTCAATTTTATTTTTGTATTAACATTTATATATGTTATTTGGTGCAGTGATGTAATACAAGTAAACATTCACCTCCAAAATGCACCTTTTATGTGTATTTTAAATTTGCTGAGTGTCATGATTTATATCATGACAAAAAAGTGAAGATGATGGTGCTATAGATCCTTTTATAAAAATTGCTGAATTTAAAATACTTGGTAAGTTATGAAAATATATATAAAACTTCTTTTACATATTTTTATCAATATGTATATATATAAACATTAATATCTTTCTGTCTGTCTAGATCTGGTTTGGTGCGAGTGCGAGGCCAATACGTGCTCCCTTCAGTGTATGATCTCTCAGATCTCGTCCTCTCAGACCTGGAGTGACAAGTTCGGGAAGAAAAGGATTGAGTGTCGCTTGTCCTGAGGCTTCTGCTCTCTCCCTGCGAGAGTGTAGTATTCCTACTACGATTTTCTGAGTGGCGAGGGGGCGTCTTGTTTTTACGCCCCTCTCTTGTCGCCACTTCTTTTTTCTTCATCTGGCGTTTCAAGACCTCCATGTCCACCACCATCTTCTTTATCAATTCATCTTGCTCTTTCATGCGATCTTCCAGAGCTTGAGGGTCAATCCTCCGTCTTTGCCTGTCCGGACTTTGAGAATGGGATTGACAGGGGCTGTGAGTCCGTCTCCCCCTAGCATCCCTCCTGGAGGTATGTCTTTGGGGCTCCAAGTCCGTCATGGGAGGGACAGAAGGTAATCCTTCACGCATTGCGCCTCCTTCTGGAGTTAGTCCGTCGACGGCGGACTGTGGCAATTCTTCAATGTGTGCCATTGAATGTAAAGGTGAGAAGCTTTAATCAAGAGGTTTTGTTCTGTCTGTTCTTTCCCACAGACGGCGCCAATTGTACGGGGAAGAAATAATTCTCCTCGTATAATCCTGTTGACTAAGTCCACGCTCCTCCGTACGACGTCGCTTTATCACCTGAAAACACAAACGTGAGCTAGCCGGCGGGTGTGTGCCGGAAACCTCTCCGATGCCTAAGTCAGAAAACTTGACAAATAGACAAAGCTCAATGTATTCAGGAAGCAAAATTGTATGTTGTGTTATGTGTTACCTCCTCCAAGGTGATGCTTGTGAGCTTTTATAGGTTTCGAGTGGCCCAATCCTGGTAGGACTTTTATTTCTCCATGCAGAGTCCTCCTAGGATTCATACTCTTAAAGGATAATACTTATCCTTTTACACCCCCCCACTGCTTAAACCAAGTGGGATGGTTTTTACTACGGCCGAACTACCATTTAACCGAAGTAAACTGGCTAAGCTGAGCCACGAGGTAGGCCGAATTATCCCTAGTTCGGCCCTTCCATTTACTCCTCATCTTGGTTCTCCCTTGCATGAACCATGATATGTTGGGACCGAGCTACCGAGTAGCAAGGTCTTGACCGACCTATCCAGAATACGTCATGACCGGGCTAACTCGGAGACCGGACTAACTCAAGTTGTCCAAACCGAAGTAGCTTTACAATTCCTGAGCCGAAGTAACTTCATCTCTTTTGACCGAAGTAACTTTATTTCTCATGGGTCGGAGTAACTTCTCGGCCCATTTTACCCGGTCCTTCGTACTTTGGGGCCATAAAGTCCATTTCATAACTCGGCCAAATTTTCACCAAAAATTACCCTCTAAATAAACTTTTCCATGATAGTGATAATATTTTTTAAAGTTACCACTAAAATGCTTTGTCCCTAAAAAAATACCAAAAAATTAGTTGCCAAAACATTTTATTTTCCTTCGTCCATGTACAGCCCTCACATTTTATTTGACTTTATTTTTTATTTTTTATGTTAATGTAATGGTGCAGTGTTAAAAGTAATTATTTTTTTCCATTCTTTTTATTGAGTAAAAAATATAAAATGGTTAATGATTTCATTATTAGAATGAAGGATTGAGTTTTTTTTTTTTCAAATTTAAATATGAATTTGAGAACTTCATAGTAGGGATATACACAGATTGAATTGGTCCAGTATTAGACTAAATCAAGAACTGAACAATAAGAATCGGTTCCAGAAAAATTAGAATCATCACCGAACTGTTAAACTGTGGAACAGGGTTGGAACCGAACCATAAAAATTGGTTTGGTTCGGTTCGATTTTATGGTTCTAAAAATTTTATATAACAATAAATATAAATATAATATATATTTTATGTTAGTAAATAAAATAATAATAATTAATTTGGTTAAGTTGGTTAGAGTTCATAAATTTCACAATAAAGGCTAGTGTTCAAATTTTATAAGAGACTCTTTATATTTTAGTTTTTACATATAAAAATATAAAAAACATAATAAATAAATATGTCATGGTTTAGTTCGGTTCAGAATCGTAACCAAAGCCTTGGAACCAAGAATCGGACAGATTTGAACGATTCTATCATTTTCATAACCAGAAGCAAAACTGAAACTAAAAAACTAGACCAAACCGGCAGTTTAGACCAAATTGGATCAGTTTATCGATTCCACTAGTTTTTTTGTACACCCCTACTTGACAGACTCATGGGATTCATCACGGGTTTCGTTTTGATAATTCAAAGTGTTCATTTTGTAGAGTCTTTCGCGTATATATCATTCATGAAATAATAACCGAGCTAAGCCTTTGGGGCTAAGCCAGCTTTCTCAGTTTCTATATCAAACTCCGAAAGCTGCCCCTAGAGGCTCAACCGAAGTAACAAAACTCGTAGTTCAACCGATTTAGGCCTTTGGGGCTAAGCCAGCTTTCTTAGTTTTTTAGACCGAACTCAGAAAGCTGCCCCTAGACGACGAACCGGCCTAACAAAGTCGTTTCCAAAGCAAGTATGCTGAGATGCCTTCCAAGATTTGATCAATAAGAACTTTGCTCAAACCGAGCTACCGAACATTTTGTTGAACCGAGATAGAGCCCGTCCATAAAGCCGAAGTAGGACTTTTTTATCTCGCTTTTAATTTGTAGCACGGTCCAATGATCTGTGCTTAACCCCTGTGTTTTCTACTTTGCAGATTTAGGTTGCCCAGGCACTCCTGCGTGCGCTCAACCGAGCTACTGAGCATAATATTTGCACCGAAATAACTTATTCTTAAATTATATAGTAGATGGGAAAGTATAGATACCTAGTAAATACTCCGGGTGGCCTAGCCGAATTCAGGAAAGACTACCAAATACCTGACGACGTCCAGCTGATTTTGGCCGAAAAAGACGTCATTCCCTGGGACAACGAAGGCTTCATCCCCTTCACCCTTTTATCCATTATAGAAACCGGGCTACGGTTTCCGGTTCAACCGTTGATCTGTGAATTTCTTAGGCAGACCAGATTATGCCCTACCCAACTGTCCACCAATACGTATCGCATCATCATGGGAATAGCCAAACTAAACCGCCAAGCCGGACTAAATCTTGGCCTGGCCGAAATATTCCATCAATACTCCATCGGCTCAAAAGAAGATGGGTGGGTCTATTACCTTAGGATACGCCGCCGCCGAGAGAAGATAATTAAACACACACCGGACAAAGATGTAAATGACGACGACTTTTTCTGGGTTTCTGGGAACTTTGAGGATTTTCAAGCCCAAATTCCTGGCCGACCTATAAATTGGAAAAAAGGGGAGCCCGGTAATTTAACTTCGGTGTTGTTCCTTGCAATTTTTTATTTCGGTTTTGCTAGTCCATCAACCGAACTAACAGTTGTCTCTATTTTCGCAGATTCTGCTCACCTTCATTCCTTGTACAGTTATCCAAATCTTGTAGTGTTGCGAGCCGCACTACGGTATCCTGAACGTAGTTGGGCCAAGTTGCTGCAATTCGAGCCGACCTACCGATATAGCGGTCGCCGAAAAGCCCGAGTGACCGACTTCCTTCTTGAAGACGCACCTGAACCAGACCCTACCTTGCCCGAAATACGACTTGTCCCACTAACCGCTGAAGAAGAGATGGCAAAGAAAAGCAGAGTTAGGGCCCTTCTGACCGCAACAACCAGGGCCGAAGTACCACCAACAATCCAAACGCAGCCTGGCGTTGTGGCCCTCCCTTCTCAACAGCCTTCTTCATCTCGCCCTTCAAAACGCGCCCGATCTACATCGACCGAACAGCAACTTGTCGATGAGGTTGAATCCATCCCCCAAAGTCCTCAACCTACCCTTCAATCGGAGCAAACTGACCGAGCAGAATCTTCCAAATGGGCTCCGCAACTAACCTTCAACGACCGAGATATCAAAGACTCTGATTCGGTTGTTGCTGAAAAAGATCATCAATTGGCCTTCAACCTGGCCAAGAGTGTGTGCCTCCCCAAAGACATGGAGCACCACCTAAAGCAACTAAACACCGAATTGAAGTCCATCCGGTCTTCATCGAAGTCCATGATTTTGGTAAGTAGTTCTGTCCGTTTTTTCTGGCTAATTTTTCCGACATTTACTTCGGCTTAAGGGAAATCTTCGGTTTGCCAGGCCTTACAGAAAAACAACATAACTTACAAGAAAGTCCAAGAGCTTAGAAAAACCACAAGGCAAGCAATGGCGGAAGCTGAGGCAAAAACGGCCGAGCTGGAGGATGCCAGAAAAGAAATGGCCGAGCTACGCGGGGAGGTCGGCAGACTGACCGGACTAGTTAGTTCGGCCGAATCCGAAAAGCAAAAGATTGCCATTGCTCTGAAGGACAAGTACCTGCGTGAGCTGGTAAAACTTGAAAAGAAGAAAGACGCCGAAATAACCCAGGCGAAGGAGGACGCCAAGGAGGCCCAGAAGAAGGGTTTCAAGAAGGCAGAGGATGTATACGTCAAGCAATGTGAGGCTGCCAAGGAGCTGTTTTTTAAGTGCGGCTGGAGGGGAGCCGTTGAAAAGCTTGGTCATGATCCACAGACCGAGGTTTTCAACCCTCCAGCCTACTTCATACCGAACTCCC